GTACTGTTTGTGATTTATAATGAACTTGCTTAGACTAGTCGAATAAGTAATTTTTCAATTCCAATTTTTTTGTAATAAATTTTAAAATCTTTCCTTAAATTTTGAATGTGTTAATACCATATAGTTATTGCTGACAAAGGGGATACTTTTATAAAATTATTTGGAAACCCGATTTTTTAATTTTTTGTATAAAGTCATACTTAGGTATGAGAAACCGTAATATGAGTACGTACCTATTTAATTTAATTCAATATCAAAATTTAAAAATCTAAATTACACCATACAAAGTATAAGTAAAAGGTACCTCAGAATTTCATAAACCTTTGGCTTTGGATTACGCAGTGATCAACTCCTCCTGTTTATTGATTTCTAAATTTCTACCTTTCAAAACATTGCCCTGTTTACAGTTTAACTGAGGCTCATGGGATTTTAAACTAGCTGTACATTGAATTAAATATTTTTATAAAATAATTAACTAGGATTAAAGTACTTTGGTGTCAGTTTGTATAATTTAATGTTTTGTTTCAGTTATGTACCTTCCCGATGTTCCAGCAATTTGGACTGTTGTTTCGAGAGAAACTGAACATATTGGGATTTAGTAACACGCAAATCACAACAATCATCAACATGAATTCAGCCTTTAACTCTTGCAGTGGTGGGTGCCAACGTCCCTGATTTACTAGCACGGTTTGTGCTTATATACATTTATTAATATAACTGTATAAATACATTTATATTGCCACAATACATAAATCTATTCTCAGATGACATGAAAAAGATTACGAAGCAGCTCCGTATTATAAACTATTTGTTATAAAATTTCGGAATTCTTTCTGCCCTTAGTTTTATAATTTGATAAATGTCTAGATGATGGTCTAGGGTGGGTGGGATCGAAAGAGGAGGTCTCCCCCATCACTGTACCATAAAAAGTTCGTGGCGGTTTCACCCCTATAAAAAGTTATGGGGGTTAGATGAGGGTGGGGGTAGGGGGATCGAAAGAGGGTGGTTACCTGAGTAAAACCCTATAAATAATTTGCGGCGGTCTCAGCCCCATAAAAAAAATATTTTCAAGCGGGTGGCGGTGGGGGATCGAAAGAAGGTGGTCACTTGAACAAAACCCGATAACTTAACCTAACCTACCCTATTGATAAAGCTATTTAAATAATGTTTTATATAACTTTCTCAATATTTTTATGTATTTTTCATTAGTTTTACCTTTGAATATTGTTTAAGAATGACTATATAAATATTTACATGCCTAGAAATGTATAAAAATTGGCATATTTATTAACTTT